CTCCGGCCAATACTTCAGCGATAAAGTGGCCGAGTACCTTTTTCTTTGATTGTCGATGATTAGACTCCAAATTTGTCTCACAACATGTGTGTTGGTCAACAACTTTTGTGACTTGGAAAGAAGTAGTCGATTGGATTCCCCTTGCCCTAACCATCCATGAACAATTTTTAACCAAACAAACAACCTCGAACCTTCCTTTGCTCGATCTGGTAGTCTTATACTGCTTACCTTGTTCCATGCATTGTCTTCCGATTGCAAGCTTGAGCAACTCTTTGTCATCAAAAATGTCTAAAACCTTAATCTCTTCACTTATATCCACCCTCTGACATGGAATGTTCACATCAGCGTTTACAGGACACGAAGGCAAAGGGGGCATACCATGAAACATGGTATCTGAATAAATAAGCTTAGATTCGTCATCTAATTCTTCTCCGTTAGAATCACTATCTAGGCCGGATATATCCAACTTGTCACAATCCGCAAACTCGCCATATCCTTTTAGTTCACCATCATGCAAAAACGGAACTTCCTGTTTTCCAGATTCATTACCAACCTTATTCACCACGGCTACTGCTTTTTTTTTTGTCAAATGAATCATTTTCACCAACATCATTAACATATGCACCAACATCATTATCACCGATATACTTATAATTCTCCGGTGTAACATACATAATCGGTTCTAGCACTACATTTACATTTTCAGCAACACTATGATATTGACTTTTACTTGGACTTTTAAAATTACCTATTGGGTTGTTGCTCCCTTTTCCACTTGATAAATTTGCTGCAGATGCCTTTCCTCTATCATCCATTTCGTTCGGCCAAACGCATTCTTCAACCACCACATACACTGACACATATTTATCTCCAACGCCATTTATTACCTTCATCAGCTTTCTAATATCACGATCATCAACAATACCACAATAATAGAGTTGTTCTGGATGTTGATAGGCCAAACTAACTTTTGATTCTGTAACGACGTAAATTTTCAAAACAATTTTTCATTTTTAAAAATGTAATCTCATTCATAAAATATCATAGTAATCCAATGTAACACATGTTATCTCAATAAACAAATCCCAAGATCCTCAAATACATAAATCCTCTCAGTGTGTACGGATAATGCCGGCGCCTTCCCGCGATCCTCGCTAGTACCTAAAACACATATCACAACAACTGTAAGCATAAATGCTTAGTGAGTTCCCCAAAATACCACATGCAACACATACGCCACTCGAGGCTACAAATACGACCCTCCGATCGATGTGTCTAAGCGGGACCCTCCAGTCCCGTAGCTCGTTGGACCCTCTGGTCCGGTCATAGCTCGTCGGACCTTTCGGTCCAGTCTGTGTCGTTGGACCCTTCGGTCCGGTCTATATCGTTGGGCCCTCCGGCCCGGTCTATTCAACACATAGCATACATATAACACAATGCACATAACTCATATATATACACATAGCATACAAGACCCTCTGGTCTACACATAAATACCACTCTAGGTAATGTATAGTGAGAAGACTCACCTCAATGAAGTCGGATAAACTCTCGTGCTCAACGTCCCGACTTAGCCTCCTCCTATTATTCAGATAACATCCCCGATCAATATTCACTCATGATCTCATCTCTACAGATTGGGTAGAAGGCCATTCTACCCTTCCCTGAACTCTCCTGAATCAGTCTTGACCAGAACCCTAAAGTCAACGGTCAACTTTGACCCGACTCGTCGAGTGCACAAGGGCGACTCGGCGAGTCCATGCGGGTCCTATGAATCCTTTCAGCCTCTCTTGGCTCGTCGAGTCATCCTTCCACTCGACGGGTTACACCTGTCACGAATCGCGGGGCAACCCCGACTCGACTCATCGAGTCCACTTATGGACTCGGCGAGTTGCCTCCATAACAACTCTCAAATGACCTTCTGAGGTCAGATCTGCTTCTCTAAACTATAGATCTGGCCTTCAAGTGCTCAAAGGTCATGTAAAGGTGCAACCTTTACGTGCATGCAACCCACATCAAGTCATAAATGGAGAAATAACTCTAAAAATGGCAACCTAGTCTCCAATCCTCCATGAACAAGCATAAAGCAGAATGGGAAAGGTTCTCTGGACCTCTATGGGTCCAGATCTGAGGTCTAACCCAGCAAGGGACCATAACCTCAACCTTTCAAGCCTAAAAAGGTTTATAGAAAACCCTAAATCATAGATCTTAACCCAAAACAGAAGGGAAGTTCGATTTGATACCTCAATAGTGTGGATCTGAACTTGAAAACCCTGGATCCACAGCTCCCTTGACCTCCTCTTGTTGGAAACTACTTCTCTTTTGCTAAAACACACAAGAAATGGTGAATTAGCCTTCCTCTTGCACCACAAACGTTCTCTTTCTCTCTCTAGGGTTTCTCAGGGGTGAAGTGGCCGCAATGGAGGCTATAAAGGCCTTTAAATAGGGCGTAGGCCCCGAGAATTAGAGTTTCACTTAACAGCGCGGACTCGCCGAGTCCACGCATCGACTCGTCGAGTCCTTCATTAAATCAGACCAGAAATGTGCGATCCCACTCGGCGAGTATGAGCGCCTACTCGCCGAGTCCCTCTCTAAAATTCAATATAAATACTTAAAATAAGATACCTGGGAATCCGGATGTTACAGATTCTTCGGGAAGACCCATCTTGCACTTGACCAACTGAAAAAATTCGGTGAACGTTGTGTTTTCGTAAAATTCAACACCTAAATAAAACATTCTCGGATTGTATCCCAGTGGCCAAACATATGATAATTGAGAATTAACAAACTCCCATCTTCCATCTGTAATGAGCAATACAAAATACTCGTTACAACTCATTATCTTAATTTTGAGGATAAAGAAGCTAGAGAGAATAAACTTTCCAAAAATATAAAATACTTAATATATATAAGATAGGTTGAAAACAGTTGTCAACTCTGACAAAAAAGTAGTCAAGTTTAACAAAAAAGTAGTCAAATTTAGCAATAAAGTAGTCAACTTTACCCAAAAAGTAGTCTACTCTTTTCGTCAGAGTTTACTACTGTTAAAATTAAAACAAAATAATTCAAAACAAACAATTGTTAAAATTTAAACAAAATAATTGTTAAAGTTATTGTACATATTATAAACACTCTTTTTTATACTCTATATTACAAAAAAAATAATAAAAAAAAATTTTAAAAATAAAAAATAAAAAATAAAAAATTAAAACCGTAGTTTTTTGGCCAAAATAGTAGATAAAACCCCCAAAATAGTAGATAAAACCCCTCCAAAAAAAACCGTAGCTTTTTTTGCGAAAACCATAGGTTTCGAGAGGAAACCGTAGGTTTTAAAAAACCTACGGTTTTGAATGTCAAAAATGAAATATATATATATATATATATATATATATATATATATATATATATATATATATATATATATATATATATATATATATACAAAACACGAAACAGTAGACGAATCTCGAAACCTACGATTTCGTGGGCTATTTTTGGCCATTTGCTAATTTTTGGCTAAAAATTGTTAATTACCCCTTAATTTGGCTAGATTAGTAATTACTCCTAGCTTTTATAGTTACAGTTAATAAAGTATTTATCGATAATCAAAATCTAAAAAAAGACTCTATAAGACAACTCGATCGATTCAACCCATTTCAATCGTTATAAAAAATTATTTGTTTTGAGCTATTTATCGAACCTCGTGAAGTTCTTATTATACTACCACCATATAATTTGAATGAAAAAAAAGGCATAGATTAATTAAAGCATGGTAGTATGAACTATGAAGTATGAATGAAGCACATAGAATACTCTTATTAAATAAACGTGTAAAAGTTGATGGAAAGAGCTCGCAAGTTGTTTAGCAAGGGGTGTTGACCAAGTAGTGGCGAATCTAAAATAGAATATCACCTGGTTCCTAATTAAGTGAAGACGGAAAAACCAAAGAGTCAATGCTATATGTGATAGATCGGGTCGGGTTGAACCAATAAAAAACCAACTGGTTTGTAAAAATTCAAGTACAACCAGACCGATAGAACAACTAAAAACTAGTAAAATCAATCTACTTAACACTAAAACCTGATTTTTGCAAAAAAAAAAAAAAAAAAAAAAACTACTTTGCACGACCTGAGTCTCTTTTCTTTTTAAATAGTTCATTTGCAACAACCATTTTATACAACCAAAAATATGAGTTGTGTTGTTTTTTACATTCCCTAATAACCATTCATAATTTATTTTTATAACATCAAACAACTTCAACTCTCCTTTTATCTCCAATATGTGATAGGTTTTGAAAGTATTAACCATTTGCTTTGTAATTTAAGTATAAGTCCTCCATCATTATTTTTATTTATTTGTTTTCTTATTTTGTCAAATAATATTAGTTAGGTCTTAATTTTTTTAAAGATAGTTCTTAACTTTTTTTTATATACAAATGCTATAAAAAATTAAAAAAATTAGGTGACTCCTAAGACCATCTTAATTGTTGTAAGTGGCTATGCCCTCTCACAAAGTCAATCACATAATCAGTTCATCGTTTAATGAAACATATATGAACGGTAGATCTATATTATTGCTTAAAGTTATTTTCAACTTATCAATTTATTAATGGAAAAACCTTAAAAAAACCAAACATATATTTATTAAATGCTTAAAAAGCTGCTATATTATTTGGAAAAATGACTTGATAGGGTAAGATACTTTTTGAAATGTACACATTTAGTCATTATTATTTTTTTTTTGTAAATTAAACCCTTATACCCGATTTTTTTTAATTATGCAATCCTTTTGATAGACTATACTCGGTATACCGGTCATATACGAATTTTATTTTATTTTCTTGAAATGAAATAACCAGGTGGCATCCACATGTCACCTTACGTGGATATTGTTAAATTACACCACATTGAAACGACAAGTAGGGCTCATTTAATCAGCCATTCCTCCATTCACTCAGCCGATAATCCCTCAAACTTCTTGACTCACAATCACCATCAACAATGGCAGAAGATGCAGATACAATCGTTGATGTACACTATAATGGGGTGTTCACACCTACCCCATTGATGTATTTTAATGGAATAAAAGCCTCTGTACCATACATGGTTGTGAACAAGATGAACTACCCTGATTTCATCCCCTTTCTTGAAAAGCTTACTAACGGAAGATGCATAGATGTGTATTACTGTCCACATGAAGTGAGGTTGTCGGAGGGATTACATGTTATTTAGAATGACTGCGATTTTAACGAGTTTCTTGAAGATATCAATGAAAAGAAGAGATTGGATGTGTATGTGGATCATCATCATGAACCTTTGTTTGATTGGATTCAGGAGGAAGAAGCAGACCTTGAAGATGATGATTTGGTTTCTATTGATGATGTTCACTCCATTTTAGAAGATGGTCTGAAAGTTAAACATGTAGAGGACGATGAAGTTATATCTCTCAAAAGAAACTTCAATGATCAATTCCTCAACAAACTTTGTCCAATACAGAATGATGACTTGGTTGAAGAAGATCATAATGCAATACGACCTATCTACCCAAGACATGATCATACTCAGGAATGGAATGAGATGAAGCCTCGATTAGGTATGAAATACTCTACTACTGCTGAACTTAAATACTCTCTTAGTTGCTATGCTGTAGCAAATGGTTATGATCTGTGGTATGAAAAGAATGACAAGAGTAGGTTGCTAGTTAGGTGTTGTAAAGGAAAGAATCCAACATGCCTTTTTAGATTGTATGCTTCCTGGATGAAAGAGGAACACACTTTTCAGATTAAGTCTTTTATAACAGAGCACAAGTGCTCTAGGGCATTCAAACTTGGGTCAATTGTAACATATAAGTGGATAGGGAAACAATTTGTGAATGCTGTTTTGGAGAGTCCTAAACTGAGTTTGAGGAAAATGAAAGCCTTAGTATCTACGAGATACAACATTAATGTGAGTGTTGGGCAGTGTAGGAATGCAAAAAAGTTAGCATTGTCTGAAGTTGAGGGAAGTTTGAAAGAACATTATGCCAAATTGTGGGATTATGCAGCTGAAATCAGAAGGGCTAATCCAGGTTCACATGCTGAGGTGTTCTTGGAGCCACAACCTGATAATACCGTGGTGTTTGATAGGTTTTATTTTAGCTTTAAAGGTGTTGTGGATGGGTGGTTAGATGGGTGCAGAAAGGTAATTGGGGTTGATGGTTGCTTTCTTAAGGGTGTTTGTAGAGAGGATCTCCTATCAGCAGTGGGTAGAGATGCTAATAATAACATCTATCCCTTAGCTTGGGCAGTAGTCAATGTTGAGAACAAAAGGACATGGAAATGGTTTTTGGACAACCTGATGGAAGACATTGGAGGGGGGAATGGTCATGACATTACAATCCTCTCAGATGGCCACAAGGTAATCATTTAATTGTTTTGATCATTTAATTAACCTTAATTGTTTTGATCATTTAATTAACTAATCATTTAATTGTTTGAATCAGGGATTATTTGAAGCTGTGAAGGAAAGACTTCCTGATGTGGAGCATAGATTATGTGCTAGACACATTATAGCTAATTTCCACAAAAAATTTAAAGGAGAACAATACTTTAAACCATTTTGGAGGGCTGTGAATGCAACAAATGTACCAAAGTTTGAAGCAACAATGAATGAGATTAAGTCCTTGGAAACCAGGGCTTATGACTATCTCATAGACAGGGATCCAAGGTGTTGGTCAAAGGCTTTTTTTTAGAGAGGGTATGGACTGTGATGCAGTAGAGAATGGAGTTTCTGAAAGTTTCAATTATGTTGTACTTGATGCTAGAAGGAAACCATTGATAACAATGTTGGAGGACATAAGATGTTGGGTAATGCAGAGGTTATGAATGCAGAAGCAAAATAGTTTGAATTGGGATTTGGACATATGCCCAAGCATCAGAAGGGAGATAGAGGATTTGAAAGAATTACAAAGGTTAGTAACAATTTCATTAGTTATACATTGGTTTATAATGGTAACTGACTATCTTCTTGTATATTGACAGATTTTGGGTACCTTATGTGAGTGGCTACAAAGAATTTGAAGTGTTCTCAGGAAATGAGAGGTATGTTGTTGATCTGAATCACAGGGCATGTGGATGCATAAGCTGGCAACTCACAGGCATTCCATGTGTACATGTCATATCAGTAATTTCATCATTGAACCTAGTGTGGAGGCTTTTGTATCAAAATCCTATACTAAAGACTCTTTCCTTAGTAGCTATGAGTATAACATCCACCCACTCAATGATAGTTCTGAGTGGCCACATGTTGAAGGACTTCATACTATTTTACCTCCATTAAGGAGGAGGTTACCTGGCAGGCCATGTGTCAAAAGGAAAAGAGATCAGGCAGAAAGAGAGCTAAGTGGGCACACAAGGCATACTGTGTCAAGGGCAGACATTCCTCTAAGATGTACCATTTTCCACCAAACTGGCCACAACAAAGCCATGTGCCCAAGTAAGCCAACTCCAGCTCCAAGCACAGCTGGTCCAAGTCAATCAAGTCCAGCTCATGTCAAGAGAACTCCTGTGAAGAAGGCTCCTGTGAAGAGAAGTCCTATGAAGAAGGTTCCTTTGAATGATGCTGGTAGGGTGAGAAAGTTTTCAGAAAGAATCACAGAAATTGGTCTTCAGAAAAATGTCAAACTCAAGGATGGAACTGGATGCAGCCAAGACAAACCTGTGACTTTAGAGTAATTAGATTTTGGTGTAGTGGGGTAATGCATGTGATATATATTTTGATGTAGTGTGTGTTAATCTTTTGAACTTAATTACTATATTACCCCTACTAGTTGTTTACTTTTGATGTACTTGTCGAATATTTTGAACTAAATTACTGTATTACCCCTACTGGTGGGCTTATCTTTTGTAATTATTAAATGGCTTGATGCCTTTTGTCAGCCACTTTTATTTGTCTTTACATCCAATTATCTATAAAAGAATATTTCCTATAATTTGTCTTGGTTTTACCTCCATTTGAATGACTTAATTACATCAACATCCATACATAATAGCAATAAACTTTACCATTACATAAACATAAAGTACATCAACATCCATTACATAAACAAGAATTACACAACAAGTCTATTACATCAACATCCCATAAAACCTCCAGAAGCATATCTTCAACTCCAAAACATAACCTTAACAATGACCAGCATAATCAGTACACAAACCATAACCTTCAACTGTTTCACTTATTCTCTAACAGATGCCACATCCTCTAAAACTTGTATAAGATAATCTGCAACATCTGAAAGAGTATCTTTTGCAATTGGCTTCATATTCTCAGGTTCTTCATCAATTCATTCCCAAACTTTACACTTTTTCCCTGGTTTCTGTAGTAATAAAATCAACAACATAGAAGGTAAGAAGAAGAAAACTGATGCGATTTGACAAATAAAATCAATTTAGGTATTTACCAATGAGTTAGGGCACACTCGGAATTTCTTTCCAGGGTTATCTTTGGTCTTGGAGGTACGAATTCTTGTAGAGAGTTTACAATCACAAAGGACTTCCTTATCTACTCTGTGATTGCTTGAACCTGTGGAGATTCTTGAGTCACTCGACATCTTCTTTCTTCTTCTACGACAAAACTGTGATTCATCCTGATTTTGGATGTTAACATTCGTTTATAAGGAGTGACTAAGCTAATTAATTGTAATTGTTGTGCAGTTGTTTTTAGTGCCACGTGTGCTTCCACATCAGCAAAACCTATAGAATCCGGTCAAAAGGACCTAATGTGTACATATTAATAAAGTATAAGGGTTTAATTTACAAAAAAAAAAAGAATAATGACTAAATTTGTACATTTCAAAAAGTAACTTACTCTATCAAGTCATTTTTCCCATATTATTTTTTAGTATACTAAGACTCATATATTCTGAAAGTGTTATTTAAGTCTTTTTGACCTTAGAAAAACTCAGTCTATTATCATCTAAGCATTAAAAAACTATTACATTATTTTTTTTTAGAACATCAAAATCCTTGTATTTTTTGAAATTTTTTAATCTAATGGATTATAATCATCAAACTGTTGAGAATAGATTACCTAACATTTTTTGTTATCTAGGGTTTACCAAACTCAAAGCATTAAATTAGACATTTAAAAAAAATATAAAGACTTTAACATACAAAAAAAATAATATAATAGTTTTTTTTAGAGATTGATTGTTCAAACTCCATTTGGAAAAAAAAGGTGGAATTAATATATAATAATTTAGGTCTATATTAGATTCACAGTTTAAAAAAAATATTATAGATTAACTTTTTTCGTTAGCTTTTTTTTCCTTATTTATCTAAAATATTCTATAAAACCTTTTTATTTAATTAAATATTTTTTAAACACACGATTATATTTCAAATAATTGAAAATATTATAATACATCATTCCAATGTAAGTTTTAGTTGTTATAGGGGCAGACATCCTACATGTTTCAATGACATTCTTAAGAAAGTTGAAGTTAACGTGTAAATCATGATTTTTTAATCATTAAAACTTTTAAATATCGTTAGTCGTAACAATTAGCTTATCGGATGTGTATTTTCCTAAGAACAACATGACATTTTATTCAAACAACATTAAAGAATGTACGACTTACTTGCTAAATGAAATGAAAATACCAAGGTTCTGAATAACGTTAGACATGACTTGACGGTACCGTCAAGCCTCAAGTGTTTACGAGTCATGACGAGCCATATCGTTTGTGAGACATGAATCAATGCGACAATTTTGTATATAATTAATTAATAATTTTATATGTATTTATTATTATTATTAATTTATATATACATATACGACTTAAGACGACATTTTGTTAAAGTTTGGCGGCAAATACAAATTTAAGAGTCATGACACGACGAACTTTTTAGAACCTTCAAAATACCAACATTGCACCACACTCCATCAAACGCTAGCCTCACATCTTACTTTTATTAATTTTATTTCTTTATATGACAACATTTTACTTCTATTTTTTCTTATAATGGAAGTGTACTTTGAAAATCTACACAAATATAGTATATAACTCTTTTTCTTCTTGATAAGACACTATATTTTGGAAAAACCACCCTATTATAGAAATAAAACATTCTTTTTTATTTGGATAATTGTGTATCTTTTTAAGATACATCAGTTAGAAATAATAAAAGTATGATTTTATAAGTGTACCTTATGTATAATTTTGTGGATAATAATCTTCCATTAATGTATGATGTTACATGTTGTATAATCGTTTAGAGTTTCAAAGTTCAATGCCTAAATAGGAAAAAGAAATACAATTTATAAATATTTTAGATTTTTGAAGTGTAATGCCTTAATATGGAACATAATAAAAGGTACAATGTACAATGTTTTCAAAATGTACTGTCATTATCTAGATATATGTTAGATTTAGCATTTGGGAAATTATAATTCTTTTAAAAGTTATAAAAGTGATAAATGGAGTAACGAGTCAAAAAGAAAAGATATTGAAAAAAAATAAAAGGCTATGCTATATAAAAAAGGAGGTTATAAAATCGATTAGTTTCTTATTGTTTTTTTTATATCGACAGAAAATGTTATTTTTGGTTATTATAGAACTACATGATCATTTCAACACATAAAGTCCAAGATATAACATTGGTTCCAAATGATGTTTGACCATTACATTGGTTGGAGCGTGATTAAAACCACAATGATGGTCTTTGTATGCCATTAGATACTCTGATATGGGATGAATTTTTAATGCCATTGTTTTTTGTTGAAGTATTACCAGCCTGCGAGTGCACCAATGGATTCTGCAAGTAACTCCATTTTAGTGTTTATAGTAGCAACTTATGTAAGAAACATATATAAAACACAAAGAATTAAAGTATAATAAAAAAAAGTGAAAGTATAGTGTTATTTTAGCATTTAACCCATAAGTATACTGTTAAAACACAAAAGCAGAAATATACCTTGCATCCCATTTGATCCTTCCATTTTAACCATTTACAAAATAATAAAATGCAATTCATCCATTTATCACTTATTAATGGCTTTCAACCCTAAATAATACATGAAAAACTAATTTGGTTGTAGTTTAGATTAACAAAAGAACATGGTTCCTACAACTATGATGACACTTTGTATATAAAAGCATCATTAATATACAATTACCCTAATTAGTAAAGTAAGATGCTATATTAGGAAAAAATGAAAGTACATTGCTAGTTTTTACATTCAGCCACTGATTGGGCTAATTGCAAAAAATAACAATGTATTTTCAAATTACGACAGATAAATAAGAAAAAATTAAAGTAAAATAAAAAGAAATAAAAATAATGCCACAAACTTATATTAGTATGTGTTTGTACTATTAGTTTTTCGGAAAGTAGCTTGCTATTGTTGGTGAATACCAGTGATTCCTTATAACAACAAAATAACAATGTCAAAAGTCTACAATCAACAAATAGATTTTCTAAATGAAATTTAAGTATCTATATCTATTAACTTATAAGAGATTACACCCGCACGTGCACATACATACACGGTCACATGACATAATAGTGGGACGGATCTCTAGTGCTTGGAAATTAGCAAGCATAATGATGAGATTTATCATTTATGTATTTTATAAACGAAATATATGATAAAATATTTATTGGAAAAGACAAGTCTAACCTTCCTTCCTTGAGATACAGCAAGAAACGTGATTTTAACTTCACTATCATCAATTCATGTGCATAATCTTACAAGAAAAGTGAAGCTTTTGATAATAGGATCAAGTGGGATGTTGTTCTAAGTAGATAGGGTTTATAACCTAAACATATAAATATATGGATGAATATATATCTATACTAAATAATTAACACTCAAAGTTCAAAGTTCAAAATATATCTATACCGGGAATAACTTAAAACATATAATAGATGAAATATCATAAAAATCTAGGTTAGAAATGTTACCTAAGTTTAAAGTTCAAAATCAAGGGCAGGGGGTGAGGCTTGAAGTATGTTGGTTCCAGTGTAATCAACAAATTGATAATCATAAATTCTATGCTGAAATCAGTACATTTGATATAATAACTAATTAGACAATAGATGAAATGACCGACAATATGGCGAGAGAAATATATCAGGTTCATCTAAACAAAGATGGAAAATTTTCAAGACATGGCCTTTATTGTCCAATAAGTTCTAATGCCTTTTACACCAGATCCTCTGTAGAATACAAACATATTCGTGAACCTTAGAGAAAGAGAGAAAGGGAAGACAACAATGAAGGTCATACTGATAGGGATGAAGAATATTAAACAACATGAGAAGATTAACCTGCAAATAAAGATGAAATAACATCATAATTAGATTAAACAGCAAACATAGACATGGGTGTGAACGTGTGTTTAGATGTTATATAAAGTAGATAAATAAATATGGGTAAAAAACCTTAAGAAAAATCCAATAACCATCACGTAGGCGGTCAAAGGTGCCGGAAAGAATATCCACTCCATGGGAATTCGACGAAAAAGGTTGCAGAATTAGGTGCACGCTTCGAATTTCATTTTATCACAGATGTTAGATATCTAATTAGTACTATTGTGTCTGTCATCAAATAAACTGAAAGTCAATATTTATGAATACAAAACACAAAAATCCCTAACTTCAAATCCCTTACTTCGATTAACCTGAAAAGTCGACACTCAAAACTAAAATCAGAATATTGATCTTACTTA